ACAAGACTTAGGTTTCTTCGGGGCTAAGAACATATTTATACCCCCTTAAAACAGTACTCGGGTCAACCCGGAACGAAAGCGGATCGCCCAGGTCAAGTCAACGGTCAACCCAAAAAAGTCAACAAAATGCATAAAATCGGTCACTCCATATCGGAGAAGTGACCGATATCCGGTACCGGTCTAGCGATCCATCCAGCTCTTGTGTCGCGACACGACATCCTCATTAGGCGCATGCTATCGGTCTTCTTCATTGGTTTGTGCCGATATCAGTAGATATTGGTTTCTTCAGCTTGTTCTTCAGGCGATATGATGCGCTTGGTCCAGTGGTCAGAGAGTCTTGATGCTCCATCGTAATAAGAGGATAACCTGGGATATCTGTGCGCTGGTTTGGGGGCACTAACCTCCTGATTCTCGACCCAAAATACAAGATTCAAGTATATTTGTTGAGACTCCATCCTTCTGCTTTTCCAGGTGCTTCCTATCGGTGAATACTGATGATTCAAGACTGATTCCCGCTCCTCTGCTTGCTCCAGAACCTTGCAATTCTTCTGCGTTTCATTCCTCAGCACTCACTCCAATCCACTAGGCTCTGATTAGCCAGATAACTCCCATTAAGCACAGATTCCACCGGAAAAGAGAAGAAATATGTACAAGTTCTAACCTAAGGACCTAAGATGCAACTTAAAGCTAAACCAGAGCTAAAATGTTCCTATATGATGCAAAATGATACTAAACGGAGGATAAAAGGTTCTACAAATCACAAAAACTTTCATGATACTATTTCATTTATATTAAATTAGCAAAAAAATTATAAACAACATATCCGGGCTATGCCCGGGTTATTTTCTAGTCTTATTATATAAAGGAGGACGGTTACGATGAAAACGCGACACATAAGCAAAACTGTAACTCACCAGATCGCGACACATGTAATTGTTAATTTAGATTGTGATATGTGTTAATAATAACAAAATTTTAAAAATTAAAATAAGTAATATATTTTAAACTTTAAACAAGGATTATGGACGAATTAACAAAAACTAAAAACCATTATACTAAAATAGGTAATATTTATAAATTGTTATATTACAAAATATATTCTTTCCAAATCAAATTATTGAAATAGTTAAAGATAAAAAGAGATGTCGTATTATAAATTTTATTTTGCTAATATATTAACGTATATGAGATAATATTAGTATGAGATAAATATAATAAATTGACGATTTAATAAAATATAACATCATATAATAATAAAAAAAAAATATTACATATTTGTGCAAGTTATAATTTAGAATCTAATTACATTTGTCAAACTATAGGCGTTATAAATTTTAAAATCAAAAATACTTACCGCAGTGCATTTTTATATAAGCATGACACGTAAGCAAAATTATAACTCACGAGACCACGACATGTATGATATATCTAATAATAAGATTGATCAGATGATAATATGTTAACACTTAAAATTAATTAAGAAAAATAAGATTTAGAATGGAAAGTAGTTGTCAAGTTACTAATCAAATAATAAAAAGTAAAATTTCTAATACTATCTATACTAATTAAGAAACAAAAATTAAGATGAAATATAAACATTACATAAGCTATAAAAAAAATACATACAAAATAAAAATGATAGTATATAATAAAAAACGAAAAGGTATATAAATTGGAAATACAAAAGTTATAAAAGTTATAGAAACCCCAATTTTAAAGATATAAACAACCATGCAACAATAAATTAATAAAAAGAGTCTATAAAAAAGGAAAAATTTCAAAAAATGCCACTTTTTAAGTGCCACTTTACAAAAATGCCACACTTTTGAAATTTTTATAAAAATACCACTTTTTCAAAATTATTTTTTCTTTATATTATTTATGTTTGGGTTAATTATGTTCTACTAGGGTTTAGTTTTGAGTGTTTAGAGGGTTTGAGGTATCAAAACATTTTTTAGGGTTTATAATTTTAAGATATAGATTTTATAAATCTATAATTAGTGGCATTTTTATAAATGGATACTCCTAAGTGGCATTCTTGCAAATGTTCACACAAAAAGTGGCATTTTTGTAATTGCCCCATAAAAAAGGGCAATTGAAAAAATACCATTTTTGGTGTGTACATTTGCAAGAATGTCACTTAGGGATATCCATTTGCAAAAATACCACTAGTTACGAATTTTTAAAACCTAAATCTTAAAATTATAAACCCTAAAAAATGTTTTGACCCTTAAAACTCTCAAAATAAACCTAATACAACATAGTTAATCCAAACATAAATGATATAATGAATTATTTTTTTTGAAAAAGTGGCATTTTTGCACAGGTTTTGAAAAGGTGACATTTTTGAAAAGTGGCATTTAAAAAATGATATTTTTTTTGAAATTTCTCCTATAAAAATAATTATTTTATCAAAATAAAGTTATAGAATATCATAAAGAAAATGTAATTTTTTACTTATGACGTCATTGGTCTCTCCAAGTGTATATATTGAAAATTATGTAAGTTAAAAAATAATAATATTATATTTACTATGAAGTTAATACTATCTAAAGTTTGACGAATATAAACTTTGATGAGAAATAAAACAATGACATTAATAAAATAGAAATTATCAATCATGTACTTATGTAAAGGTTCATAACATTATTTGTAGTTTTTATGAGATAACTAACATAAATTTTACTTTTTCTGATTTAACTATATAGTATTTTAACCATTTTTATTTCTATCACAAAATTCGTAAATATTCATAATATCTTAAAATATATATATTGTGTTATTAAGAATATGATTTAAATTCTGATTATAAATATTTTTGGATTTGCATGATATGGATTAAAATATGAGAATTATGATATAAAGTGACTTCTACTAGTGTTAGAATCTACGTTAAATAATATTTTAAAATTCAACGGGTTACTAATTAAAATTAAAAT